CTGCATGGAAGATTTATTGGCGAAACTTCAGCTGATAAAGGGAGCTTCAGGCAAGTAGTAATCAATCTCCTTTTCATGAAGCAAAAATGAAACGCGTTCCCAGAAGGGCTTCACAGGGGAACAGCAGCGTACCACATCTGCTCGGTCGTCCTCCGGCATTTTTTCTCCATTCACCCCGTTTTGCTGAGATCTTTGACTGCTGGAAATCAAGTCTCTCGCTTGCCCTTTGGGACCAGACTAGAACATGTAGGAAGGGCATCCATTTCTTGGATGCTGCTCTGTCAAACTGTATCAAAGGCTGCTTCTCGAGTGTCTGTGCTTCTGCTGGTATTGAGCAGGTCTGCAAATTTAATAGTACATAAGTACTATTTAATAGTACATAAGGGCTCTCTCCCCAGCCTGAGGATTGTGGGGTGCTTCGTGTGCCTGATTATGACTTGCCATAAAATCAGTCTCGGAAATTTGATTGCGTTAAAGGCTTCACGCATTGCAAAGTCCTGCTTTATTTGTATTATATGTTCTCTGGGTACCTACGAGTATTTGCAGTGGTACGTCTCCAGGGCTCGTAGCATTTCAATCCTGCACTAAACTTTTGTACTGAGACAACTGGTCTGCAAAAGGTGCTCAGGAAATTTTTCCCTAAAAATCAGAACAGGGAGGAAGGACTTTTCTGGGGAAGAAAATAGGAACACTGGAAGATTTTCTGTACCTTTCTTTCAAATATTGCAGTGTCCTCAGGCCGATGCTAAACTCATGCTGTGGTAGAAAGGTCAGCTGGGAGGAAGGGATTTGATACGGCTATTTTTTGAAGAAATAGGAAGTGTCCCCTTTGTTACGGTGGTTTGATCTGTTCAGTACCAGACACGTAAGCGTGCTGCATTTCACCGGTCCTCCTGGAAGAGCTGCGGGTAGCCGAGCAGAGCGGAGCAGCCAGCAGATTAGCAGTCAGAGCAGCAAGCAGGGTTTGTGGGAGCAGCTGCACAGGGGAAAAAAAAAAAATCGACTCAAGTCTGCTGCCACGTTTATTCTTTTGTGAGATATCTGAGCTCGTTCAGTCTGTGGGAGAAGCCTTAGGAGATGGTAATAGGGGTTGGGCAAAAACTCAAGGAAACTCTAGGGGTTTTGTGGGGAAAGCCCGACTGAAAGCCTTGCTGGGGGGGCTGCCAAAGAACAGCACCGCTGCGGGGGCTGGAGAAACAGCTCTTTGTGAACATTCAGTCCCACTGGTCCCCAAAATAAGGTGGGAACTGGGAGGGAGGAGGCAAGAGGGGAGATGGAAAGAGAGAGAGGGGTCTGGTCATGTTGCATTCCGCTACTAAACTTCCTTTTTTTTTTCCCCCTGGATGATCCCTGCTTTCCTGTTTTCAGGCAGAAACAGCAGGTGCTTCCTAAGCACATAATCGATCCCATGGACCGGCAGGCGGTGAGGCTTGGGGTTGGCAGAAGCACCAGGGAAACCGGTGGGGAAAGGGCTCCCTTAGTCGGGAAGTCATTGGATGTAGGTGCAGCGAGAGCAGGAGAAACTGTCAGCGAGCTCTGGGTGACCCTTTGCTTGCCACCCGACAACGAGGTGTAGACATGGAGCAGCCACTCGGGTGTTGTGGTTTTGGGAGGCTGAGGAGCAAGTTGTTATTTTGTTGGGGGTTTTTTTGTTTGTTTTTTAATTAAACAGACTCCCATAGACCCTTTGGAGGGAGCAGAAGGACAAGCTGTGGATTTAAAAAAAAAAAAAAAAAAAATTCAGCTCTTAAAAAGTAGGTTTTAATTACAGTGATGCTGTTTAGGGGAGAAAGTTTGATAGGTAGCTATATTTTTCATGTTTTATTTCAATGAAAAAAGTCACTGATTTTAACAAATATAAAGCCAATTGGTGTTTATAGAAGGTATTTTTATATGGAGTTTTAGGATATATCAAGTCGTAACTACAAAAGAGATTTGAAAGCACTTCACGTTACACTTGCTGGACTAAAGCCCTTTTCAAACCAAGCTTTTCTTTTACAAGTTAGCATGTTGTATGCTTTTTAAGACTAAGAAAGCAAATCAGGATTAAATATTATCTTAACTTCATATACTGCTTAACCAAATAATTTTTTAGCTGGAACTTAAAATGAATATGCTTTTTCTTTTCCTTTCTTTTTTTTTTTTCTTACTATATACCAAAAAGTTCAGTTTCTAATCTTAGTACTGATATAGAACTGTTGGCAAGATACAAACATCCATAAGCGCTCACTGCAGGTGGAGGGCTTCTGTTTTTGTCGGAGCAGCAAACCTGGAGGCTTTACTACAGCAGGCCTTCTACTCTATAATTAAGTTAGATGACCAGTGATTTGGAGTTTAGAAACAACCTCGATCAGATGATTTAGTTGAATTAAATACTTGGACTCTGGTCTGCAAACTTCCAAATATGCAGGTCTTTGGAACTCCATGCACAGTTTCTTAGTTGCTGTCCATGTTTTTGCCTAACTGCTCAGTAACAGCATGTTTTTAAGGAGCAGGACAGTTAAAAACAGGGTTGAACTCTGTGTCCAACCAGGACTTTCCAAGAATATTCTGTCTTACGCCCCTAGATTGCAAGAGAACAAGACCTTTGTAACGAAATGCCATGATGCCAGAAGATTACCCGCTCTGTGCCTATGGGCTGGGGGGGGAGACTGACATAATATCATTCTTCCTGGAAGATATCTGCTTTTCCAGGGAAATAGGCTGTGCAGGAATAGAGTACAGGAGAATAGGGTGCAGGGCTGTTGAGCAAGTTGGGCAGGACATTGGGAGCGGTAGCTTTTATGCAACAAGAAACCAAGGGAAGCAGTTGAGTTGTTGTGCATCTTACTTTTCCCACCAGAGGAAAAGTTTGGGGACACTGAGATACATTAATGCAGCTTATTTAGGATTTTTTTAAAACAAGATGGCATTACTCATCTCCCTGCTGTACTGACAGGGATGCTGGAAGCTGTGATGAGTCCAGCACTAGTTTGCTTGGCATTTTTTACACTGCCGACTGTGAAACCCTAAGCCAGCGCTCCATCCAGAGTGTCTGCTGTACGGCTGGGGGTCCCGGGCTCCCTGCTGAGGTCCCCGACGGCAGGACGATGTACGTCGGCTCCCTTGGAGGGTACCACGGCAGCCAGCCACGCAAACTGCTGGATATCAGCGTTCCCTCGTTTCACTGAGCTCCTGGCAGGAATCCCATACCACTTTGATTTCAATAGATCTCTGCTATTTTGTTCTGGGTTTTAATCAAAACCTTTTTAAGTGGAGAAAATGCCAGCCAGCCAGAGCTAGTCCTGATTTCTATTTTCAGTTCTCCAACTCTTGCTAAAACCTCTGCCTGTTTGTTCATGTGTGAAAGTAATGCCCAAAGTCTGTATAGAGCCAAACGCAAGAATAGGCAGCGTCGCAGTCAAAAATACTTGAAAATAGGTATTACGATACTTATTTCTCCAAGCTGTTGCAAGGCTTTGTTAATCGTTTCACAGTGCTTTAGGCACAGGGTTCGATGTGTGGATTCTCGCTCAGTAAAATGTGTATCAAACACTGACAGTCCTAGTGCCATTCATACTTATATTCAGTAATGATTCAGGCTCTTGAAAAATCATGTTCAAATTACATGTTCTGTGGCTTCAATTTCCTGTTGCTAACAAGGGAATGATTTGCAATTTCTTGTTTGTCCTCCTCTATGCCGTAGCCTGGAAGCATTGCTTCAGTTACCATGCTGAGTTTCACAAGCAAAGCTGCCTTTTTTTGTATCGTCTAGTTCCTAAATCTCATGGCTTTCAACGTTTCTCTCTAAAAAATACTTTCTGTGAATCTGAATGTTTTTATGCATATGTACCCTAGTGTAGGATTTGAAGCAGATAAGCCTCTCGGAGACTCAATTAACATAGGACCAATACATATTTATTGCAGTAGTACTATAGGATTAGCCTACGATGTTTGAAAACCGTGTCGCATCCCTGTTTTTCCCCCCAAAACCCTCCTAGAAACCTATAACCAGAAAACTGTTTTTCTCAGCATTGTTTATATCGAATGTTCAAATTCTGGCTCTGCCTGTCTCATTTGTGCTTGTTCTCCTCCCAGATCTTCCTTTTGCGTTGGATGAGGCTTTTTATTCCTTAGCAGCATCATTTCATTCTGATTCCTTTGGAAGACATTACAGTGGGTGCGGTATGGTGGGAGGGGAAGAAGGACAGAAAAGCTGCATCTCCTTGTAGCCAAGCAGCGGGCAGACTAATGAAAGACTTGATGAGTTCAAGTATGCTTTATGAAGATCCAAAAGCAATTTGAGGATGTTTTTCCAGAACCCATTTAGGCTGTCGCTGTACTATCTAAGCATATCTGTTTTAGTGGATTTATCTTCCCAGTCCCCCGCAATAAGGTAGGAATGCTGCTGCTCACTTTGATAAATGGAGAAGAGAGAGTATGACTTGTCTAGGGTTATGAGCCAAGCTTGCGTCGGAGATGTGAGTTGATTCCAGATCACGTGTGGCCCAGGCTCCTTCCAGCCTCCTTAGGTTAAAAAAGGAGCTGAACCTCTGACACAGGAGAAACGTTGTGAAAAGGTGGAGAAACTGGGGGAGAAACAAGCAACAAGGGAAGTATTAATAGTCGCTGTTGTGCTAATGGATCGCTAGTGAAAACCAAGTACAGAGGATGCTGTTAAGTACTTTAAGCAGAGCTGTCATTTGTTTAAGGGTTTATTTCAATTTAATGCTTTGGAGGGTGTAGTGTAGCAGTTGTAGGGTCGCCACGTGTCCTGTGTGGTGGTTGCTGCTGGGTCTGGAGGGGAGAGATGGACCACTGGAGTCAGTGACGGTCAACCAAACTGTTGCTGCTGACCGTAAGATTTTGCTCGTTTTCCCAGCCTAAGTAAACAGACCGTCGTGCTCGACCTAGATGCAGGCTGGAGAAGCTGGTCAGTGTATTACATGAACATACGTGAACATGAACAGCAGTGATAAAATGTTGATACTAAACTTGCTTTCCTTACCTTCTTGAAACAGCTGGTCAAAGGGCTGCAGCAGGAGCTGAACCGGCTATACACGCTTTTCTGCTCCCGGAATCCAGAGTTTGAGGAGAAAGGAGGGAAAGTCTCGATTGTGTCCCACTCGCTGGGCTGCGTCATCACCTACGACATCATGACTGGCTGGAACCCGGTCAGGCTTTATGAACAGTTGCTGCAGAAGGAGGAGGAGGAGCTCGAAGACCGTTGGATGAGCTACGAGGAGCAACGTTTACTTGAAGAACTTTACATAACTAAACAACGGTAATGCATCCACTTCCGATTATTAAAGGAGAAAACCACATCCCTAGATGACGCCCCTTGAGCGTTTCCAGAACCCACCATGGCTGTTATTTTTTGTGGCTGATGTTCTGCTGGTGATGAATGGCAGTGGTAAACGCTAAACACAGGGCCGAGCAGGCACAGGGAGCTGGCACTGCTAATAGGAGCTCTGAATCCACATCCTACGGGCTGTGCCAGAAGCAGGCAACTAGCTACTGCTCGCTGACCAAATGCACTGGGGGCAGATCATAGCCAGGATCAGAAGGTCAGGCCATTAGCCCTCCGGATACCTGAGGAGAAACACAACAAAGTAGCTTGCAGGTGGGCAGTGAGCTGTAATGCTGAGCAGAACCTGAGCAGCGAAATTCCTAAGTTTCTAGAGGAAAATGAGAAATTTTCTCCTAGGCTCAGCTTGGAAATTGAGCTCCACCAGCTGGATACAGATGTTGCAATTGCTGTGATTGGGTTTATGGGGTTACTACTCTGCTGCGGATCATTTACTAGCTTCTTCCCGCTGCCGTCTAGAAATGTTCATGCTGTTGGGAGTGTGAAGCAGCACTGCCCACTGTGACAAACAGGATCTCGGTTCCAGCGCCTTGCAAGTGTTGGTAGGGATTCTCAGTGTTAGGGGGACCTTGCAGATCATCGTGATGTCTCCACAGTGTTAAGGTGACTTCCCTGTTCTAACCTGGATATTGAGGTGCTACGAGACACCCGTGGATAGAGAATCTAATAATAGTAGCTTGAGCTTCGATCTTTCCAGTGGGAGGTGAGGATAAATCGTGATCACAGTTCTTTTTAGTTCCTTCCTGAAACCTATCTTAGTATTGGCGGTGCTTTGGAAGCATTAATATAACATCAGATCTCCTGCAGTGCTTGAAATCAGTATGTGTGTAATTAGGGATCGGTACAGGACGTCTCTATCACCTGCAGGGCTGGATAAAGTGCAGTCTTTCCGAGAGAAGGGAAGTAAGAAACCTAATGAAGTTGTCCAGTGGTAAGATGGCCCTTCAGGCATATCACTAGCATATGATCAGGGTAAAATTACCGTTTTCACACTCCAGCTCCTTAGGCATCCTCTGAAGTGCTTCAGGTTGCATCCACAGTAATCCAAGTATCGTTTGACAGTGGCACTTCTGTATAGCTAGAGTGGCTCTCCACTTCGTGAGCCATCTTAGTGCAATTCAGCCTGAAATAATAGAAAATATACTGCTGATGTCCTATAACTTCTGGATTTCTAGTGTTTTAAGGATGGCAAACGCATAGTGGATTTATGGAAATGCTTATGTCTGACTAGGGTGTGTCGTAGCATGTATAAATATTCTACATCGTAGAATAACATACAGCATGTGAGGTTGTGTATCGGAACCCTTCGACAACGCTTCACAACAGTCAGCTATTTTGCATGCCTTCTTTTTTAAGACTGAATCACGCGCATTAAAGCATACCAACTTTTTTGAAAGTACTGCTCTTTGGGAGGTTTCAGCTCCAGACTTGTTTCTTTCTAACCAGGATGGCAGTGGTGACGTTTAACGTATTTGTTTCCATAACGCTTTTGTGGAACTTGAGGAGATGGTGTTTTCCTGCTCTAGTGCTGGGGCTGGACAGTTTTACTAGCCCATATCAGGTGCTTTATATTGTAGCTGCTTTTTTAATTCAGGCTAACTAGAAGAACAGGTGAACAACCTTTTTTAATGATAGTTGAAAGGGTGGGACACTGTCCTCCAGATATTCTACCACAATACAGAACTCCATAATGCTTGGGCCATGGAGTTTCCTGTGGCTTTGTTTTTAAAAAAAACAACAACAACAAAAAAAACCCCAGGTGATTTGGTTGCTAAAACACCAAGGAAACAGGAGGTGAGTCACCTACTCCTAAGGAAGGAGGGTGGGCAGATGCTTGGGGTGGTGAACAAGGAAACCGTCATGTCTTGATTGATTCCTTCGGTGGTCAGAGAAACAGAATTTCACATACATTGATTCTTAATCAATGGGACTGCACCCAAGAAATACTGACGCCATCGCTCTCTCTTCCCAGCAGACAAAACTGTTGGACCCCACAGGAATGACTGTTTGGATCAGAGAGGTTAAGGCTACGTTTTTTATTGGATCTCAGAAAGATCTCTATTTTCTAGGTTGAGAGAGATAGAAGAGAGGTTACATGGGTTAAAGGCATCCACCGTATCAAAACCACCTGTCTTAAAATTTAAGGTATGTATGTTCAAGAGGTTTTTCCTGAACGTTCTACTTGCTGTAAAAATACACCAGCAATATGAGTTATTCTACGTACTTTTTTTTCCCACGTCCCTAGACATGATGTTGGTAGAATAATTTTAACATATTGGTTGTAGTGTGTGTACGTGTGTGTAAACATGTTACTGTATTCATATATATTACTATTTATTACAAATAAATATGTTTATCTGTAAATATATAAGCCTGTATATAGATTGTTAATATATTACACGCATACAACTATGCGGGAAGGTAAAAGCCGTTTGGCAAATTATATTAATCATGTATCTTAAACAATTTCACTTCTACTTTGTTGACTAATCCATTTTCCTTGGGGACGAGACTACTTCTAACATGTCACATCTCTGAGCAAATCCGATTGAATGTCCTCCAGCAGTGGATTTTCCTTCCAAATTACACTGGTTTGACAGTTAGCACAAGTTACTTTTAGTTTCGTGAAATAGATTGCTTGCTAATCAGCTGTATAAATTGCTACTATTTCATATCATTGGGAAAAGGCATTTTCTGGCTTCTTGGTGGGATGTGCAACACTTTCTAGTTGCTCAACTGTATCCTGCAATATTAAACCATAAATACATGACATGATAGATGAGAAGAAAATAGATTGTTTCTTAACTTGCCATTTTTTCTTTCCTTCTGAGTCAGAAGGGCTCCTAGAAGCCAAGGTCAATCTTGAGCCATAAAAAAGAGGAAACGAACCATAATTTGATTTGTCATAGCCTCCTCCTTTTCATCACTGCTTAAAAGCATGTATCGTGCTATTATCTCTACCATCAAGGAAGCTGGAGTCAGGCTGATGGTCCTCCAGCTCTGTGAAAGATTATTCTTCACTCAGTTGTGTTTAAACTGAAGATTTTTTTGAACAGATGCTTTTTAGAGGGAGCAGGAAAGGAAGGGAAAAGAAAGGGGGAAGAAAAGAGGACTGTATCAATCCAAATTACTGCTAGGTAATTTTCCATTGCAGTACATCCTTTTTCTTACCCTTACCGAAAGGAAGATGTTTGTTCCTGTGAAGTTTTACACTAGTGACTCCCATTGCTTGAGTACCGTGCCTGAGACAGAGCTCCAGGGGAAGAGAGAGGCTTTCCATGAACGTGATGGCAAAGTGCTTCTGCCAAGGGAGGATTTCCACAGGATGGCATTGAAAGATGATTGCTCATCAGCAAGCCGGTCCAGCTTACTGAGGGTGACTATCTTGTTGAAAGAGAACTAACTGCTTTGTAGCAGTTAGTTCTACCTACCTACCAGCACCTTGGCTCTTCATGGCAGGCCGGAGCTCCGGTTTGATCATGAGCTGCTATTAACTACAAGTGTTTGATCCACAAATTACTCTGGTCTGTGCGACGCAGGGGACTGGAGTCTTTGGTCACTGATCTCCTTAGGCTGTATTACATGACGAAATGGGCATGTACAGCTGTAACAAAAAAGGCTAGCCACTGTCGATGTGTTGCCTCTTGTATGGACTGAAACAAATTAAGCTTCCCGGGATGAAAGTCACTAGTCCTACATTAAGCAGAATTAAGCTTGCTTGATGTTGAGCAAGGCAAGTGTAAGAATAAATACAGCAGCTAACTCGGCCGGTATTTAATATTAGAGGAAATGATCCGTGTTTAACTGACCCTTTGGGGAGTAAAAAAACCTTGCAGATATGGAGTGTCTTGTACTGTAATAATGTATTGGACAAGCCATCAGAATGAGAACTTGAGGGTGAGGTATCTTTATGGCACGCTCTCCTCTACTACTCTTCAGATGGCACAATTGAATAAACTGCTAAATCATTAGGACCTGCGTGGGTTAAAAGCAAAGCACCATTGTCAATGTAAAGCTTAGAATCGCAGCCTTCTCCCCACCAGCTGTGTAAGAGGAATCGGAGCTAAAGGGGCTGAAGAACATGAAAACACGGGGAATGGTGCAAGACCTACCTCTTTATGACTCTGTGGTGCATGAAAATAACCGTGTTGTAGGATGATTTTCAATCACAGTAGGGAAGAGGAGGGCAGGACACACCTCAGTCGCTCCCTAGTACTGAGATGGAAACTCATTTAAACCTGGACTTGTCGATGTGCTGGCCCAAAGTGCTTCAGGATTCCTTAGCACTTCTCACTCACCCAGGGTTACAGAAACCCTTCTGGAAGAAGCTCCAGCTTGTACTTGACCTTGTGGTTTCTACATGGCATCATCAGACAGTGATGTCAATGTTGATAACTATCGCAAATTATTTATAAGATACTAGTGTTTTACCACATGTACAAGAATTATGAGAGCTTAATGGGATGCTGACGTGCAGCCTTATCAGAGAGGAGGAAGCCTTTAAACTGAATGCAGAAACGTTGACGCAGTAGTTCAACACACAACCGCCCAGTTAAATTCCCCATGTAATACGGGTATAAGTCTCCGTTCCCTTTGTCTGCTAAGGCTGCAGAACGTTCCCGGGTGCAGGAATGAGTGGAGGCTGCTGCAGAGGTCTGTATTTCCTCACTCTGGGAAGATGTTTGGGATCCTCCAGGCTGAAAGGCAGCACAGAAACACAAACTGTAATCGCCTTCCGTGTCTTCTGTTTTAACGTCACCACTAAACACATTCATTTGTCCCACACACTTCCCTATGCACAAAAGAGCTGCGCTGCCTCACTTCTGTTGGCTCATTCAGCTTTTTTTTAATTCTGAAAATACTGTAGCCTTAAGTTGAACGGATGACTATTTGGCTCAGCTTCTGCTTAAAATACAAATAAATTAGTTAAGTCTTCTGTTTATGAATCATACCCAGGAGAACAGTGCTATCCTGAAAGGTCATGTTCTTAAACATTTCTTCTCTGTTGTTAAACATTTACAGGAATACATGTGAAGTGCCTCACTCCTGCTTCTAGGAGAAACCAAAAGTAATAAATGTTTTCTAGAAAGATTTTAGTCCTCTATTCCCAGTAGGTTTCATGGCACGGCAGTCTTCAGCCACTTTGCAACAGCGCTGAGAGTCTAATGGCTGCAATTTGAAGGACTTTATTTTTGGAAGACTTACTTTTGATTTTTAGTGTTCACTGCTTTGGTATTGGTCTGGTGCCACCCGTTAAGGTACCCACCAATTGGTACTTTGTCTTTGTAAGCATTTCCAGAGCTGGAAGACCATGTTGAAATGCTCGCGCTTATAAGAAGTGCAAAGCGGAAAAACAGGGCCCTCCAAGAAGAAGGCATCTGTCTGTGGACGCTGTCAATCCTGTGTTTATCAATAGAAACAACGGAACAAAAGCCACGCACCGTGTAACCACTGAAACTATTTACCTTTTGAGATTTTTGCCTAGTCTGTAGTGGCCTAAGGTGAATTCAAGAAAACATCTTTTGAGCATCTGCTAGCAAGTGTAAGCTGGCCGTCACTTTCCGATTTCTTTCTAAAGCAGAAAGACTGTAATTGTGTACTCCAGGCGCTCGATACGGGAATATCAGAGGGACAGGGTTAAAGGTTACTTATTCAGTTTAAAGGATTGCACTGTGACTATCTGTTTCTATTGTATTTGAAGATGAGAAAGCTTTTTGTCCCAACTGCAAAAATGTAAGGGTCTCTGCAAAGCTTGATTATAAGAAAGGAGAGCAGCTTTGCACTAGACTACAGTAACAGTGTAGATGACAGAGCAGTGCTTTGCAGCGTACGACATTGAATAGCTTTGCTGAAGACCTAGATTTTTGGGGTTTTTTTTCCATTGAATTGGGACTTGCGCGTTCTTTTGGAAGGAAGAGGTGGGGTACCAGCGCCAAGTCAGCGGAGGAGGAATGTTTCGTGCAGTGCTGGAATCTGATAGATGAAACGGGCCATTATTTCCACGCCCTCGCTCCACGCGCTGACATATAGCGAAGGCACATGGGAATCCAAGCACCCTCCACATGCACTTAGCAAGAATGCAGCAATTTCTCTTGCTGGTTAAGTAGCAGCGCACTAGGGGTTGCTCAGTTGCAGTGCCCTGCAGACTGGGCGCTCCTATTGGGAAAGTTGCAGTGAAGGTCTGATAATGGTAAAATTAATTTTTCTCATAAGAAAATATTCTAAAGGTTAAAAAGTAATTTTGACTTACGAAAATACCTTTGACTAGAGTTTTACATTTGATGTTTCTAGGAGACGATCTCTGAGGATTGGTAATGGGATACGAAGCCATTCACGTCTAGGTCACTGTTGAATCCCGGCCCAGGTTGGTAGTGACCAAAAGTCGTTACCACTGATGCATGTTCAGTGACCTTTGTCAGATGGGTTAGCAGTTGCGGTTCAGGTTTACGCGATTGCCTCTCGGTGTTAGAGGCAGTCCTTCTAGAGCAAAGTCACGGTCGAGCTTTGGACAGCTCTGAGCCCGCAGAGTCGCTCAGTGTGCTGTACCTGTCCTGGGTAGCGGTTCCTAATGTGTGACGTGGTGGCACTTTTGGCAAGCAACATTCTGTTCACTTAACACTAGGTGTTTTTAAGAGGTTGTACGTAACACCAGCCTGTATGTGTGTGCGACTACTGTAAGTATTCTCTAGGTTGTCTTTAATACTCGGTGTAGCTTGCGTTTCTACTTCATCAATGGGTGTGTGTAGCAAAACAAATCATGGAGTACTTGGTTAGGGAAGATTAAGGAGTTGTGGTAAGCTTTGGGAAGTTTCATGAGAAATCAGACTTCGATCTTGTGAAACTCGTCACATTTCCTTAGCGACTTCCAAGTTCTTCTCGCTCCAGCCTTTCCAGTGTTGGTAGACCTCTTTCAGTTCAAATATCTGACCTGTTTTTCAGTTTTCCAACTACGTAGCACCACAACATGTAAAATTCTTCTCACAGCAAAGGGAAATGGGAAACTTAACCTTTCGTGTTATAGTATGTATGTTATAGTGGTCTTCCCCGTTTTGACTTACTAATACTGTATGAGTCCCTCAGTTGAAACTGAGAAATCAAACCTGGCCGTGTTAGAAAGCATTGTTTCCATCCTTATTAACGTGGATGAAATCTCTCCTTAGGTTGAGAATTTCTTCTGTATGGGATCTCCATTAGCAGTGTTTTTGGCGTTGCGTGGCATCCGTCCGGGAAACAGCGGTAGTCAAGATCATATTCTGCCCAGAACAATTTGTAACCGCTTACTAAATATTTTTCATCCAACAGATCCAGTGGTGAGTTTTAATTGCAGTTGCAAGCTTTTACCTTGACTATTTTTAAGCATCAGCTGTGTGATAATGTGTGATCTTCAAAGCGTGTGAATCATCGCAAGTATGTTCCAGCACAGGACTGTTTGTTGATGATTATTGCACAATGTCTTGTTTTTTATAACTGTAGAATAACAGTTTCTACAAATAGTTGCCTAAATACCATGTACTTTGCTTCTCTTTTTGTATTAATAAGCATAAGATTCGAGGTTACTCTGCTTTTTTTTTGTTTTTGCAAAGACGTAAGAAATAATCCTTCTCGGTCAAGTTCCAGCTTGTGTTTAACTTGCTGACGTCCGTTAAACATCATCTGTCCAAAGATACTACTGCTGTCAAAACAGGCTCCGCAAGCAGTTTACAAGACACTGTAGGAAAACAAAGCCACTGTTTTTTTTTTCCCAAGGGGTCCAGAGTAACAGATTGTTAGAGGGTGGGGTAGTGCCTGGGAGGGCAGTTTTGGTAGAGCTTTGCCTTGTCCGTACGGTCTTCCGTAGGCAGCCAGTGTTCGCTGTTATCAAAGGCGAGATGCTGGACCTTTGATCTGCATCACCTTGGCAACTTCTCTGATGCAAGCTGGGTTTGGGATTTCATGCTTACTGTAGAATAGTAATTTGGGGATACTTTTGTGTTCAAACTCTACCTGAATTTGAGTATATTCAGTCCAAACATGCTGGTCCTGCTCATCTCAAGATCGTGTTCAGCTCCAGCTACTCCAAAGCCAGATTTTTCCTGGGACGTCTAGGACGATTGCTCAGGCTGCAATCTGTGGCCCCACTCGAAAACCAGTAACTTTATCTTAAAAATAAGTAAAGAAGTGCAGAATGCTTTTCTACATCTAAGTAAACAAAGAAAAATAAAGAATCGATAGAAAATGATTTTTTTTTTTAATAAGCACACCAATTCATGGTTTGCACAGGGATCAAAGAAGAGTCATCAAACAAAATGTTTACCCAGCCAGTTCCTCCCTCTCTGTCGTGTTGGTGCAGAATCAGTTTAACTGTATATAAAGTTTGCTCTGTCGATGCGTAACAACGAACATCTGTTAACGGTAACTTGTGTGCTTGTAACAACGTGTAGTAGAAGTGTTGCAGAGAAACGTGCAAATGTGAGTGCACGAGCAACTAGGCAGCTAGTATATCTTCCAGGCTGTGAAAATAAAAGTGACCCGGAACATAACGCCACCATTCTGTCACTTTCTAGGCTTCACTCGTTGCAGATATTTTGGATTTGAGGTCGGAGAGGACTCCGTATGGGAAGGGAGTGTGATTTTTTTTTTCGGTCTCGACAGTCAGGATTTTCTTTTCTGAATTACTCTTGCAGGCCTATAGGTTAGAACCTTTAATTCTGAAACACTACAGCAACATTTCGCCTGTCCAGATCCACTGGTACAACACTGCAAACCCTCTACCTTATGAGCATATGAAGCCAAGTTTTCTCAACCCAACGAAAGAACCTACCTCAGTTACTGATAGCGAAAGTGTTTCAACTGTACCGAGCCCAACTACTTCACCAGTCATGGTTCGACGCCACTACGGGGAGTCTATAACAAACATAGGCAAAGCGAGTATATTAGGTAATTGTTCTTTATGTCCTTTTTTTTTTTTTAATATGTAGGACCTTCTTGTAGAGCTCCGCTGTTTGAGGTACAACCCTGAGCAAGCTGTTCCTGGCTGTTTCAGTTTGTTCTGTGTAGGTGTATGGCTCGTTTTAATCCCAACTGATGTTTGCTTTGAAGAAAAGACAGTTGGAGTCAAGGCTTGCAGGGAGAGGGTGTGGGTCAGGGAGTTTATGCTATTGCTGCCTTATTGTTGTCTGCCTCCTTGAAGTAACATCGTGGTGATTTAATAGTTTCCACTCTACTTCATGGAGGGAAAAAAAAAAAAATTAAAGCTTGTTTTGTGACTACATTTTCTGGTATTGGCAAATAGGAGAAAAATCACTCTATGTAAGCTATTACAGTTCCATTTAACTCATGATTTTACAACAGGAAATTCAGGCTGTTTTAATATGAAGTCTGTCCCCTTCTGGCTTTCTGATTCAAAATAAGCCCTGGTTTAACTGAGCTTAAATTCACTTTCACTGGAGCTTATATTTGAGCACGCACTTGCAGTTTTTGTTGACTCAAGGCTTTTCTTTAGCTCTCTGTGTGGGATTTGGAAGAAGGCTGATGTGACCTAGTGCCAGGAATCTTCCCAATCAACTAAGTATATAAAAACAGTTTAGTCCTTAAGTGGAAATAGGCGGTATTTCAAAGCAGGGTGGCTTTTTGCCGTGTTACTATAGTAACTTTAGTGTCATGTCCATAAGGTGGCAGCAAAGTCAGAAGAAAACATCACAGATCCGTTCTTAACTTTTACACCCCTCTTCCTGAGCAACCAAAATAGTCCTTTTAAAGGATGATAAAGCATTTCTAAATGTCTGTAAGGGTTATGCCAACATAAGGACCCTTAATGGGAGAAGTGTCTTAAATGTCCCGATGGGATTCTTACGTGCAGAAGGTACTGACATTGTTATAAGGCATTTTTGTCTTAATCTTGGACTTCTTACGAAAGAGAAATTACAGCACATCCTTAAAAGTACCAGATTTCTTGCTGCAGAAGCGTTCTCATGTATTTCTGTTCCCCTAACTACAAGTTTCCAAATTATAGCCTTTGCTTGTACGCGAGATTAGTCTCACGATAAACAGAGTACACTTAAGTCAGATAAGCTGTTCCCACCCTAGAAAAGCATGAATAGTGTTTTCCTTCGTCTGTCGCTCAGTTCTAATTGATGGGTGCTACAGTGACTTTAATTTGCGGTTTGATTTAGCTGCCCTCGTGCTTGGTTTGTTTTCTTTTTCTCCGTGCTGAATGCAGGAGCTGCGAGTATCGGGAAGGGCCTCGGCGGGATGCTTTTTTCGAGATTTGGCCGATCCAGTACAACCACCCCACAGACACTCGAGACGGGGAAAGATGGAGCCGAGGGGGACGACAAGAAGGCCACAACTGTTGGGACGCCGCCTTTCCCGCACAGCAGCTCAGGCTTTCTCGAACCCACAGGTTAGCGACGAGTCCACCTCGCAAACCCCGTGGAAACAAGACCTTCGGTGGGCTGCACCTGTGTGTTGTGGGAGGCTGGAAATACCGCAACAACATATGCCGCTATTTGATTTTGTTGGTTTGCTCTAAAGTGA